GCCAAAACCGTAATCAGAACTATCAGGCAAATCCAAATTTTCAAATGAATTATTGCTCAACTAAGGAGATCTGAAACTCGTTTGATGTAATATTATTTGATCTCTCCAAATTTGGGAGACGGACGAGACGAGACGAGACGCGACGTGATGCAATGTAATTTGCATAATGCGCAAGAGAAAGAATTTTGACAGATCGCGATTGTTCTATTACTTTGTTCTGTTCGACCTTTTGTTTTGTTTAAAAAGTTAATTGAAACTACAGGCGTTAATCAACAAACTGTAAGGTAGAAATTAACAAGCGCTAATTTTGATTTGTAGCCTTTAAGACGCAATAAATTACTTACCTAAGTGTTTCCGGTGTCAGAGAAATGATTCAGTTGTTTCACCAGGATATCATGCGGGTCAAATAACTAGTAACCTTTCCTCGACGTGAAAACAATTTCATACCCAAAATTCATGACTCTTCGAAAAACGAATGTTGAAAACCTGTATGTGTCACCAATAAACTGTAAAATTTGTTATCTCGCGATGACAACTGTTCTTGACAGCCTTCAATTGATAAACAAGTTACGCGGGTATTCCATGACAAGAGACTGTTTGTGTTAGTGACGTCACTGAGCCAAAATATACTCAGTCGAAACTATCGATCTTCGTGAACCTCTCGACGACCTAACTTGTTGCTGCTGGTTCAATTTCTCGCCTACTATTGAGTAACATGGGTGGTAAACCTGATAAAGACAGAAAAGACAAGATAATCGAGGATGATTTTGTGGATGTAGAAAAGTTTTCAGGACGCCACGATGAATTCGGCGAACGGAAAGGTGAAGGAGCGTATTTCTTCGCTAATGGGGATATTTACGATGGAGATTGGAAGAAGGGCAAGAAGCATGGCTATGGAATGTATACATATGCAAATGGTAAAAGGTATGATAAATTTTCTGGGCGACGGAAACTTCGCAAGAAAAGTCTTTTGCGTTAAATTTTTGCCCGGCTTTATCTTTACTTCCGGTAGTACTGTTTCGAACGCTTCATTGTCCTTAAAGAACAATACACTGCTCTTTGAAGAATTGCGTTGCGGTGTAATATGCTGTTGTTTAATCTATGGTCTCTCGAAGAGATCTAACGTCGAAACTTGTAAAAACAATACGTTGCAGTATTTTCCTTCTTGGTGATATCATCTGCCGAAGATACGCTATACCATCGAGAAATTCGCAAAATGTGCCCGACTAGTCAGATATGATGATGAAGGGCTTTCGCCGGAAACTCGGAAACTTAAAAATACGAAAACTCCAATTCTCAAAGTTATAAAGATCATGGTCCTTTTCAAACGAATGTCACTGAATGTAAATTTAAAATTTATAGTGTGCTTGTTGCTGTTTGAGATCTCTAAGCTGGTTTGAAATCAAGCGAAATGACTGTAAATTACAGGATTACCCACGGTCTCATTGCAATTGACATTGCTAATCAGGCAGATAAATATTTTAATTTTGGTGAAAAGAATAATTCTGAAATTCGTTAATAATAGATTTCACGAAAGTTAAAGTCGTAGAAAAAAACACTCCAAACGAATTTTCTCGTTCTCAAGAGTGTATTATAAGAGCAGTCACTACTGAGATTAGGAATTATTTCGTACCTTTACTCAACTGGAGAGTGAATGGGAAGTACAAAAATGTTCTTCTCTCCAAGAAATCTTGCGAGTGATTATTGAGACGGTTAATTAAATTAGTCACACTAATCAGTCTTATGCCTTTCAATAAGGAAACTCAATATTTCTTAATCCATTTTGATTATCTTAGTTGACGCTAGACGGCCTGTCACACAATCTTCGTCGAGGGGTGCACGGCAGCGTCACGTAAAAATTACTTCCAAGGTTCTTTTTACTTGTTGGTTGCTTTTCAGTTTATACCGTCTTAGTAATGCACATTCCTTCTGTGTGTAGCTGAATCCAATATTTTGTTTTCTTTAAGCATTAAAGGATGGTTTTACAAGGATCAATTCATAGGATCAGAGCCAAACGAAAAGTTAAAGAAAAAATTGAAAAAGAAAAATAAAAAATGTGAAAAGGATGCCGCAACGCTTCCTCCACCAGCAAGTCTTGCTTTGTAAGTTTATCTCAAGTTTCATTTAATTTTTATTTTGCTTAGGGTTTAGGGTTAACATGGTTATCTATAATTCATAACATGCAGGAGCCTAATGGACTCTTGGAACATTTCAGTGCAAATAATATCAGTCACTTCCGCCATTTGAAAAGGGATTTTAAAAACTGCTCGAAATAATTTAACTGTCGTTTTCAACAAAAGGAAACACTTGGAAACTGCATCAGAACTATGTAACAATCTGCAACGACAATTTTTGCGTAACGTTGCTGCAACTTTTCGTGAAACGTCACAGGTGGGTGAATTCCAGAAACTCGCAAAATGTTGCCAAGTGTAACAACATCTTTGCGATTTCCATGGCATATTAAGGTCCGATTTCAACATTTGCTTCAACGTGTATTCAACACTTTGTTGAACCAAATGTTCTGTGCATTTGAACAGGTCGTCCAACATTGTTGAAAACTTAAAAAAATGTTGAAAGCTTGTTGAAAGCGTGTTGAATCACGTTTAAATCGGTTTAAATTTTCATTCAACATCGATTCAACTTTTCCTTTGTCGTCCCGCGTTGTGATTCAACTTTAGTTGAACGAATGTTGGTCAAATGTTGAAACCGTATAAACGGGCCTTTACAGCCGTTTTAGTATAAATTGAACAAAAATGGTGCAACACCGGTAATGTTTAATTCGTGTCCCCCTCTCTTCAAAGAAATGCACCTTTATCTTAAGAGAGCCTTTGGTGGAATCATGGCACCCTTGGATTCGATTTACTGTCACTTATTTTTCGCGTTTTTCGTGTGTATTGACAAAGGCGAACGCGAGGAAAGCGCGAGGAGAGCGTGAGGGACGGCTGCAAGGACATCGCAAAGGGCGAGCGTGAGGAGAGCGTGAATTAGGGAGCGCGAGGAGGGAGAGTTACGCGCTTCCCTCGCATTTGCCGCTTATATGATAACACGCAAGTATATGACAATGACGCCTGTTTCAAAGGCTAGGTTTGCATATTCCATTCAGCAATTAATCCGGAAGACTTTGAAAAACGAGGCTTGCATTGGATAATATGATTTGTCCAGTCATCTTTTGAGAAACCCGCCTAATTATTGGAGTTTGCTTCCCTGTAGTTTCCAGCCTGATGAGAGAGACTCCAAGCCCCGCCCTACAATTCTTAAATCCAACAGCCTCGAAGACGTTTCAACAGCCGGCCGGCACGAGCCTGATGGATTCCGACGGACGAAAAGTGAACGCCGAGCAAAGAGCGCCTTTAAGAGAAATTACAGACTTCCCAGCAAAGAAGATGAAAAGATTGAGAGGAAGAGGAGCGTGAGGCTAAGGCAGTCAATCCGCGCCAAATATGGTTTGCCAGTACCTTCAAGAAAAAATCCCTTGCTTAGTGGTTCTGACTAGGATTGAATTGATATTAATTCCCAAATGCATTTATTTATGAACCATTTAGATATATACAAAACGAACTGAAATTAGAGCGCGGTGATTGGTCGTTGCCTCTGATCTTTCGGTGTGCGGGCGCATAGCTAATGTCTCAGAGAATTTTTAGAATCAAACCAGTTTTGCTGGGGCTTTTTATGAGCAAATAAAAAAATCAAACAAATCAAACGAGCCCACAAAAATACAGAAAAAGGGAAAGAGTCTGAAAAACCAAGATTAATATTGTCTTCACTTGGAGCCTTCAAAAATCCCGGAATCTGGAACAAATCTACAAATTGTCGAGCCACAAGGCGAGTAATTAACGTCACTTATTTTACTTTCTGGTCAGGTTCTAGAACAAATCGATCACATGCTTTGTGTCTTTGGTTGTAAGAATTTTGATTTCAGATAAAAAACCTTTACCTCCGTTGGGTGGGTAAGATACGAATCCGTTTTGATCTATGAGAAGATCTCGGTTCCAAATCTTTTCGTTACCTATAACACAAATTTCTGCTGCCAGGATAACTCACTCCTGGGACAATAGACTAAGGTTTACCTTTTTATATAAACAACGCGTGTTAATAAAAAATGAGTTTTATGACTTTTACTTTAAAAGAAACATTTTGTCAACATAACATGAAAATTGTGAGATTAAAAAAAAATATACAAAGAAGGGCCACAAAATGCAAAGGAGGCACCCCGCAGCATAGGACAAAAAGAATATGTATGTATAGTTGATATATAGTCTGGGTAGCATTAAATAACAAACGGAACGTAAATTGAATTCTGGATTTATTTGTTATTCACATCCCAACCGTCCCCACTGCGTAGTGATACAATTATTTAAACGGTATTTAAAAAATTTACGTGTGTGGTTTTCTAGTGAAATGTCATATAACTACACTACAAGCACTTCCCTTCTTTTCGGCGAGGTCCGTCGCGCGAGTCAAGAAAATAAGCGAGGAAAAAAATAAAAGTGGCATTAGTGCGGATTTCTAGGAGTGCGCTTTGCTGACATCAATCAGTTTTTCTTTTTCACTCGCACGATAGTCTTCGCCGAAAAGGGGCGACTGCTCGCAGTCCACCGTAAAGGTAGAACTTGACAAGACAACGACAACAACTAACGCGTGAAATCAACGGGTCGATATGCGAGTTAAAACTTGGGAACACCTGGGCGCATCTGTGTTCTTTGCAGATGACAACACGAAACCGTTTCCCATACAGTAAAGACCTCAGTAAATCGGGCTGACTAATGCATCTAGTAATTCCAGTGAGCAGGACGATGAATTCCGAATCGATTTATCACAACTTAGGAGAGTTTCACTCAAAGGGAGTATGTTTGTAACCGATTGATTATCGTTTAACGTACAAATGGAAAACATGAATATATATTATATATTTGACTTCCTGAAAAATAATTGTTCCCCTCCCCACCCCTGTAATAAAATACTCTTTAAAGAAAATTACGTACTAGTAATCGCGTACCCAAATCCTACCGCTTAGCCGTGGAAGGTCTGGGTGCGAGACTAAATTACTAGGATCATTTTTGAAATTTTAATTCCTCCCCAAGCAGGGCGGTTACCGATGAGGTTGGCCGCCACTTTATGTTCCGGGCCACCACGAAGCTGACTGGACTTTTCTCACTTGACTCAGCTGCCGTAAGGTAGAACAAACAAACAAACAAACAAACAAAAATCACACATTAACGAAACAGTCATGATATTCTGAGTCACTTTTGGCGCTGTGCAAAACTACCCTCAATTTAAATTAGACGACAAAATATCAATTCTGTCTCAAAAAAAAAAAAAAAAAAATCGCACAAGCATAAAAGGTACAAAGAAGAGGGACACGGGCAGCAAATGACGATCTTATATTCAATGCACGAGAGGCCCTCCTAATTTTATCAACGCTTTGAGAGCAAGGTACCCCACAATGGACCTGAGTCAGTGGAGCGTATGGCTAACGTGCAGATAG